TTCTCTGCTCCAAATAGTATGTCCAAATAGTACCAACCATTCGAGGTCTATCTCAAATCTCACCTCCTCCGTGAAAACTTTCCTGTCTATGATAGTGGCCATCAATATCACTCTCTTCTGACTTCCTCTAGTACTTCTAATCTGTACCGTATGATTTGGCTCTGCATTGCAGAATGCCTAGTATTGTTATCGTTTCCTAGATCTGGCTTGTCTCTCCAACTAAACTAAAAGTTCCTTGAGGGCAGAAACCTTGCCTTAGTCACTTCCGCATCCCCCCCAAGTGCCTAGAACAGAGTCTTCTTCATAGTAAGGACTCCATAAATATTTGTTGAGCAACCTAAATATTAAAAGACACACAATGAAAAAAATTAGAAGAGAATAGGAAGAGGAATCTTTCAGATCTGTGGTAAGAGGGGAAATTATTTTTTAAGTATATTGATTTTTTTTTAAATATCACCTTTATTTCTGAAGGTACTTCTCCTTTCTGTCCACCCACCCAGGGTGTCATCTCTTGTAACAAAGAATAAAAATGAAAGAGGAAAAAAACAGTTCAGAAACACTAACCTCCACGTCATCATTATCTGACTCCCAATTTTTGCCTGCATGTCTGCCTAGAAACAGAGGGGCTGCTAGGCCATCAGCATAGCAACTGAGAAATGCGTGTAACAGCCTCATTTTTGAGGGCTTAGGTGGGAGGAGAGGGAAAGGGTTATGTGAGCAGCCAGTAAGCATTCAGCTAGTCAGTCTGACTCAGTATCCCAATTCCCTAATGCCCAAAAGCAGAAAGGCTGTTTCTCAGCTTGTCTCAGCCCAAATGAACATGTCAGTTGTAAACTCTTTCAAGCTGGCCATGAGCTTGCAGCAGAGAAGGTGCTAACTTGCTTTGGTAAAAGGAGCTCCCAGGTGAGCTAACTATGTGGTGCAATGGATAGAGTGCTAGGCCTGAAGTCAGGAAGACGTGAGTTCAAACCCAGCCTCAGACACTATGGAACCCTGGCTAAGTCACTTAACCTTGGTTTTCCTCAGTTTCCTCAACCATAAAATGGGGATAATAATAGCACCTACCTCTCACAGGGTTGTTGTAAGGAACAAATGAGATGCACTTAGTCCAGGGTCTAGAATATAGTAGGTTCTATAAATATGCTTATTCCCTTTCCCTTCCCATATACCAATGAAATCACAAGCCTAGTCCCCATCCCTATGTATGAAGAATGCAGAGAAATCTGGAAGATCTTTATAAGATAATGCAAAAGTGGAGAAAGTCAAAAAGCGGGGAGACATTTTAATTGTAACCGTAGAAGAGGAAAGTAAATGAGACAAAGAATTTCCATCAGGACCTATACAGAGTGACTAAAAAATCTTTGGGATACTCTATGCAATGAAATTAATTTAACTGTAAATTGCACTGTGCATATTTAGTTGATTGTATTGATGCTCAATGTTATATTTCTAATTAAACATTTAATTTTTAAAATTGAGCATGGTTTCATCCAGAACAAGTCATGCCCAACTAAATTAATTTCTTCTTCTTTATCTTCTTCTTCTTCTTCTTCTTCTTCTTCTTCTTCTTCTTCTTCTTCTCTTCTTCTTCTTCTTTATCTTCTTCATCTTCTTCTTCTTTGGACAGGAAGAAATCAGGGAAAGGTGTCCTTTTGGTTTTAGCAAATCTAGATTCTGACAACCTTCTTGACAAAATCTCATGCTATTCTGATAGAAGAAATGGAGTGAGGTGGGCTAGAATACATTTGGAGTCTCCAGACTGCGGTGCTACAGCTAAACCGTAAATAAGAGAATAATAAAAAAAATAATAATAATAAGGTGTGGATGCATCTGGCCCAATTGATTCATTTACAACTCATGTACCTGAGCTCTACTCTTGGATTTAACCTTTTAAAGGGAGAGCAAAGTGACAGAGGGAGCCAGAGAAGAAGAGTGTGAATTGTTTGTGGGCTCTGGTATGAGTTAGGACCTCAATGGAGGTCTTCAAGCCAAGGCCAGATGATCTATCATTTGCTGAGTATATTGTTGAAGGGACTCTTATTCAACTACCGGCTGGACCAGAGGCTTCTGGGGTCCCTTCCAAACCAGAGAAGCTATGAGTTTTATTATTCTCATTTTACAGGGTTCAGAGAAGCTGACTGACTGGCCAAGGTCATATAACTAGTAAACATTAGAATTATGATTTGAACCCAGGTCTCTCCATTTTCCCAAGTCTGGTGCACTTCCCACTATGCCACAATGCCTGGCATTGCTACTCTGCCTCACTTTACTTCCCTTCATGAGCCCTGTGCTACAACTCAATTCAATTCAACATTTGTTCAACACCTACCAAGAGCAAGACACCCTTTTAGGCAAAAGGAATGCAAGGATCACTTGCTATCCCCCTCCCATGTCCTAGGCTTTTTTCCCCAAGCCTGGGATACACTAACTTTTTCCCCTGCCCCCAGTCTCTGCTAATTGAAATCAGTCCCTATTCTTCTAGAACTCATTCAAATGCCACCTCTTCCATGAGCCTTCCTCTATTCCCCCAGGCTGAAGTGATGCCTCCCCACTGCCCCTGACTTTGTGCCTTCCTTTCGCCCTTCTCCCATTCTACCTTGGATTACAACAAGCCATCTCCTCATTAGTATGTGACTTTCTCATTCCTCCTGGTTTATTATGCCTAGCATGGTGCCTTGCTAATAGTAGAAGGGAAACAAAACTAGGAACCAGTTTAGAGATTACTACTAAATTGTCATGCATAGGTAAAGAGGACAGTGGTCTAGCTAGATAGAACCGGAAGAATGCATGAAAATGAATTAAAAAGTATTTACTAAGTGCTTCCTACATGCCAAGAACTGTGCTAAGCACTGGGAATATAAATACAAGTAAGCAAGACAGTATCTACCCTCAAGCATCTTACATTCTAATGGGAACTAGAGTTTGCAAAGGGGGAAAGGGGTCAAACTAGGGTCTGGATGGCTAAGAAGCTGTATGGTAGCATGGTTCAAGGCAAGACTGGGTGAGGGCCTAGGATCCCAGAGGAAGGAGTCCATGTTCCAGTGACGGCAGGAGGAGGAGGAGGGCCAGAGCACAGGGAGCATAGTTTGGAGGCCCCTAGGAAGAAAGGTTATCAGTTCCGCTCTACCTCTCCAATGGGGCTAAAGGAAGACTCTGGGTACTCTACAAGGCCCTGAAGCTAGCAAAACCATAGGAGACAAAAGGAATTCACTCACCCCAATTCAAATATTGAGTAAGTCTAGCAAAACTCCCACTTAGGGCAAACTAAAGTACAGACAGTTCTCGCTTTATGCAAATGGGCCATTCCACAGACCTCTAGGTAAAATGATTTTTACATAATGAGAATTTGCCAGAGGAGGTAGGGAAGGAAGAGAAGAAAGCAGGCAGGAAGGAGGCAGTGTGTGCTGCAGAGGGAGAGGGCTGGGACATGATGCAGACACTGAGAGGCTGGGGACAGAGAAGGGAGAGCAAGAAGAGGAACACACAGATGCCGGCTGGGCATCCTAAGCCAAGCCCCCTCCCCATCCAGCAGAGCTGCAGTGGTGGTGGTCTCTCCAGGAGCCTTTCTGCTTTCACTTGGAGGGTTGTTTTTGGTTTTGGGGGGACTTTTTAGGGTATTTTTTTGGTGGATGGATGGGAGGCTGAGGAAGCTCTGAGCTGAGGGGCAGGGGCAAAGAGACAGTGCACAGTACTGTACAGTACAGTAAAGTAAACATCTGGTGGGGTTTTTTTGGAAAGCAGATTTCTTTCAAAATTCTTTATGTAAAGTCCCATAATGAAAATTTACATAAAGTGAGAACCATCTGTAGTTTAGAGGGAAAAAAAAGGGAAAGTAGATGACCTGAGGGACTCTGATGGCTGGGTATGCCATGGGCCTTGCTCACAAAAGAACTGAAATAGCCCAAAGGCTATGGGTTAACTCACAAAAGAATCCTAAATTCCCACATGCAGGGAAGAAGTAACAATTCAGCAGAGAAGCAGCAGATTGTTCAAGGGCAGCGCAGTGGAGAAAGTGACCTAGCAGATGATGTCAGCAGCTCTGTGGAGGAAGTAAGGTGTTCTAGCTAGCAGTGTGAGTTGCATGAGCTTCTAGCGTCCCCTCTCCCACCAATGGAAAGGAATCTGTGGGAGAATGTGTCCCTGTGTGTTCAGAAGATTTTTTTTCTTTTGATTTATCTTGATCTTCTGGTTTAACTAAATGCCTTTGCTTTGAATTTTTTAAATGGCATTTATATAGCATTTTTACTTTACATGTTAGCACATCTGATCCTTACCACAACCCTGAGAGGTGTTATTATTGTCTCCATTTTACAGATGAGAAAACTGAGGCACAGAGATGTTAAATGACTTGCCTACTGTCATACAGTTAAGTAAATATCTGAGGCCAGATTTTGGAGTCAGGTCTTCCTGACTCCAGGTCTATCACTCTATGTATATACTATCTAGCTGCCAACCAGAATTAAGGTAGGAAACATTGGCTAGGGGCTTGTGAGCCATGGATTTGAATAAAGCTGACCCAAAGAGCACTTGAGAGCAGCTTTTAGGGGGTCTGGTTGGAGGAAGGAGGGTTGCAGGCTTCGCATATATTGTCCAGCTCAATAAATAACCAAATCCTCCTCAGCTGCCTTCTCTCCCCTCTTCCTGTTAAAGGAGATGTCACTGTTCTTCATTCAAGAAGCACATATGTTTACAAGGAAATCTCATCTGGTAAGCAGAGTCTAGAGGAGTTAAGTGGTCCGTGAGGTAGTTTGTACCAGTGTCTGCCCCTTGACCCCAAGGCTGGTGGTGTAGGACCCCTGTCGGGGGTGTCAGAAGTTGGCCAATCTGTTCCCTTTCTCAGAAGCATGTTTAGTTCCTGAGTCAGAAGAGCCTCACACCTTCAAGCTTGTCTCTCTGGGCTCCTTAACAAGCCACAGTCATTACTATCGTCATGGGCTGAAGGCCAGTGACCTTCATTCTTCCCCTTGGCCTTCAGCCCTCGTGTCTCTTTGTCTCCACCTCTCTGTTTGCCTCCTTTGTGGGGAAGAACAACTATAGCTTTGGGGACAGTATAGCTTTAAGGGAACTTCTGGCAGACGCAGCTAAGCTAACATCTGGACAGTGTTCACAGTCTAGGACCGGGAGCTGCTGCTCTTAGGAATGTTAAAAGTAAAGTAAAAGTTTCCTCTGAAGAAGGAGGCAAGAAAAGAAAGACCTCAGGCTCGGTAAGGTCTGCCCTGTCTTCTCCTGCACCCAATCCCCCTTGATTCACTGGCTGGAGGGAAAGAGGGAAGGAAGAGGCAGTTGGCCTGGATCTCGGTTTGCTGTAGGTTCTACGCCTCAACTCTCCGGGACGAGCAGCCTGCTCTCCCCACCTTCCAAGGGGCTGGGGGATGGAGACCCAGGGAGAACTTTGATCTTCGAAAGGCTGGGGCGGGGGAGGGAGGGGGCCGGGAGGGGAGGAGCCTTGAAAGAGAAAGCAACTGCCTTATAACAAAGAAAGTGGATCAGATCTGGGACTCAGGGCAGAGGATGCCGGAGTCTGACCTCACAAGCAATCTAACTAGGGGCTGTCCTGGGACCTCTCTATATATATCTGTCTCTCTTCTATCTCTCTGTCGCTGTCTTTCTCTTCTCTCTGTCTGTCTCTGTCTCTATCTGTCTTTATCTCTGTCTCTCTTTTTCTCTCTGTCTCTCTGCCTCTGTCTGTCTCTCTCCCTACTTTGATCTCTTCCTTTCTTACTGCTTTTCTAACTTCTATTTATTTCCTTCCATTCTCTATCCTCTCCTTTCCCCTCAATCCTTCCCATCTCTCTCCCCTTTTCTACTCTTCTCTCCTTGCTCTTCCTGTCCTACCCCTTTTCTGTCTGGTCTGATTCCTTCTCTCTCTCTCTCTCCCTCTCTCTCTCTCTCTCTCTCTCTCTCTCTCTCACTCTCGCTCTCGCTCTCGCTCTCTCTGTATAAAATGGAAGGAGACAGACAGACAAACAGACAAAGACACAGAGACAGGGAGACAGAGGCTTCAGGAACAGCTCCCACAGTAAGCATGGAGGGTCGATGGGTTTCCAGACCAAGAAGTGTGACACAATAGGAACCATGGGTTTAGAGTCAAAGTGACCATGTTCCAATCGATCTTTGCAATTTCTTACTTGTGTGCTCTGAGGTGAGATGCTTAAGCTCTCTAGGACTCAGTTTTCTAACCTGTAAAATGGGGAGGAGGGTGTTCTAGATGGCCCCTGAGGTCCCTTCCACCTCTAATCGGATGGCCTCATCATTTCTCTGGTGCCAGGGCTGTTTGCTTCCTTGAGGGGGTAGGGCCATTTGGGGGACCTTGTGGGGGGTAGCACTGTCAAGGCCACAGTCCTCTATTCTTTTGAATTTCCTCTGGGGTTCACAAAACACATCCCAGTAGCAGGAAGGCAGGGAGAAGAAGCAGCAGCTACAACCTGCTCATTTATTTATTCCTCGTACATTTGCACGGCTCTTCTCTGGGGCAACCTTGATTTGTGGCCTGGCCTGCCAGGACACCTGGGCCAGCAGAAAGCCCCAAAGCTGGGGCTACAGCCAGGACAGCAGCCACTCCAGGGATGGAGGAAGAAGCTTTAGAGCAGCCTCCCACCACACACTGCTTGTTAGGAAATACTGATCTCATAGGCAGAGCCTGGGACTGGGAGGGGCAGCTCATGCATGCCCCTTCTGTCTCTGGCTTTCATGTGGATGGGGACCTGGGCTTGGCCTTCTTCCAGGCTCTGGGACTCAGTTTACCCATCTAGAGCATACACCTAGTGATATTAGCACCCTCTCTCACCAGGGTGTCCTGAAGATCCATGAGTTGGAGAGAAGAAGGATGGTGACAATACCCCAGCACAAACCTGTCACCCACTCGGGCAAGGGACATTTCCTAAGTACAGGTCTCCCATTGTACTAGGTACTGGGAGCAAAGTGAGAAAGTGGAGTAAAGAGCAGCTAGTTGGTGCCATCCCTGAGCAGAAGGGGTCTCCCTCTTTTTTCTCACAGAGCTTCCACTGAAGCCTCTCCTGGCACTTTGAAGTTTGTCACTATTGGGCCTGAAAGTCCCCTGTGTCCCACCCTCTGGGCCACAGCCCAATAACTCCTGCCTCTCAAAGGTCCACACCAAGGATGCCCCTGCAGCTGGCCCGGACGGGAGCCTCCTTCCTACTGATATTCCTGAGCCAAGTCGTGACCCCCACATGGTATGGAGGTGAGTTGTAGCAGCTGGTGATCCCTTTGGCTATTATTGTGATGACACTAATGCTGATGATGTTAGGAAAGACAGAGAAGAGAAAAAGAGAAGAGAAGGTGGGTTTAAACCATGAGAGAAATATAGATTAAATGAAGATTATGAGGTTTGGTGCAGTGGAGAGAACACTAGATTTGAAGCCAGAGACTCAGAGTTCAAATCCAACCTCTGCCACTTATTAGCTATGTGACCCTGGGTAAGTCACCTTATGTCATTGGGCCTCAGTTCTCTCATCTGAAAAATGAGGGGATCAGATATCCTATGAAGAACTATTCTTTTTTCTTAAATAATTTATTTATTTTTAATTTTCAACATTCACTTCCATAAGATTTTGAGTTCCAAATTTTCTCCCCCTCCCTCTCCTCCCCCCTCCCCAAGACAGCATGTAATTTGCTATAGGTTCTACTTATATATTTGTATTAAGCATATTTTCACGTTAATCATGATGTACAGAAGAATTAGAACCAATGGGAGGAACCACAAGAAAGAAGAAATAAAACAAAACAACAACAACAACAAAAGGAGAGCAAATAGCATGCTCCATCTGCATTCAGACTCCATGGTTCTTTTTCTGGATGTGGAGAGCATTTTCTGTCATGAGTCTTTTGGAACTGTCTTAGATCCTTGCATTGCTGAGAAGAGCTAAGTCTATCAAAGTCAGTCATCACACAACATGGCTGCTCCTGTGTACAAAGTCCTCCTGGTTCTGCTCACTTCACTCAGCATCAGTCCATAAAAGTCTTTCCAGGTTTTTCTGAAGTCTGCCTGCTCACCATTTCTTATGGAACAATAGTATTCCATTACATTCATATACCACAACTTGTTCAGTCATTCCCCAATGGATGGGCATCCCCTCAATTTCTAATTCTTTTTCACCACAAAAAGAGCTGCTATAAAATTTTTTTTACATGTGGGTCCTTTTCACATTTTTATGATCTCTTTGGGATATAGATATAGAAGTGCTATTGCTGGGTCAAAAGGTATGTATAATTTTATAGCCCTTTGGGCATAGTTCCAAATTGCTTTCCAGAATGGTTAGATCAGTTCACAACTCCACCAACAATGCATTCGTGTTCCAATTTTCCCACATCTTCTCCAATATTTATCATTTTCCTGTTTTGTCATGTTAGCCAATCTGATAGGTGTGATGTGGTACCTCAGAGTCATTTTGATTTGCTATGAAGAATTATTCTTGACAGTAAGGGTAGTTCAACGGGAAACAGAAGACTGAGGCAAACTGTGGAATGTGTGTTTTCGAAAATAAAACAATTCTATATGGAGGATGAGGGTTGACCTAGGTGACCTCCAAGGCCCTTTGAACTTAAGAATTCCTTAGTCTCTCACCTCTCTCTATCCAGAAAGAGAGAAAAACCTTTTCTAAAATGAATTTTCTGCATTCTAGCCAAACTGGCCTGATCTCAGCTCTCTCCCTCCAGCCCCATGCTGCCTATACTTAGACTGTGCCCAAGGTTAAGATGCTCTCTGTAGACAGAGAAATTAGATAGATAGATAGATAGATAGATAGATAGATAGATAGATAGATAGATAGATAGAGTGACTGAGTGAGCAAGCATTTAGTTAGCATTCACTATGTGCCAGGCACTATGCTAAGCACATAAATACAAGCAAAAGGAAAGATAGTCTCTGCTCTCAAACAGCTTACATTCTGACAAGAGAAGATAAGACAGAACAGAGACCTGAAAGGTGCAGGGTGGGAAGGAGGAGAAGGTACTGGAGAGGTAGAGCTAGGGGTGGTGGAGTACACATGATTGTCCTGGGCATTTCCTCCAAAGGAAGGTTCTGGGTAGAAACTCTCCAATCAGAGGAAGGGGCCACAGGGGCAAAGATATCCTCCAGGGTGAGAAGGCTGCAGGGCCATGGGGGAGAAGGCGGGTGAGCCGCTCCTTGTCTGCCTCTTAGCATCTCTAGCTTCCTTGCAGACTCGCTCAGCTCAGGTGTCATCTCCTAGGGAAGGAAGGCCCCTATATTACTAATGCTTGCTTCTGCTTCCTCAGACTATCACATCTCTACTTCCATCTTCGCAACTCTGGAGGGCCGGGACTCTTTCTATTTGTGTCTGCCTTCCTATCCCTCACACCAAAGATAATTAAGTAAACACTTGTGGGACTGGACCACCCTGATGCCCTTCATGCTACCCAGTGTAGGCAACAGTATCACTGAGGCTACATCCCTCATTTGAAAGGAGTTGGAAAGCAGGTAGGGAGAGCTCTCCCAGGACAAACCAGAATCCCTCTTGCCCTGTTGCTCTCTATTTGTCTGTCCCTATGACCCTCTTAAAGACTTCTGTATTTCTCACATTAGGTTCAGAGGGAACAGTTGGATGGGGGGGCCCTAATTCCCTTTCCTCTGAAGACGTGACACCACCCTGACCACATAGCTCATTTCTCCACAGGAATGCCTCCACCTTTGTAATGAAAGATCCCCTCTGAACCCCATCAGAAGGGGATGGTGATGCCTGGGTTCCTGGAGGCTCCCCAACCTTCCTATCTGGAGGCTGAAGAAGAAGCTGCCTGTCAGACAGGAGAAGGGATGGAAGGAAGGAGGGGTCTGGGGGGAGAAGGCTAATGAGATGGGCAGACCAAGGCTTTGCATGGGGCCCAGCCAGCAAAGTACTCTGTGGCTTGCGATGTCTGCCCTTGTGAGGGCTGGGGCTAGGGGGCAGGGGAGGAGGGGGTACAGGAGAAGGAGCTGGGCCTAAGTGATGAACCCAGGAGAACAGCCAGAGAAGAGTCAATAACAAACTGCTCCCCTGTGGCGGCTCCAGCAGCCCTGCCACTGCCCAAGCCTGCACACATGCTAAACTTTTCCACATGTCCTTAGCTTCTGGTGGAGGTCTTTGGCAGGAGCCTCTATTTGTCTGGGACAGCTGCATCCAGCGCTCAAACAAATATGCAAACTGCTTCCCCTCCCTCACTTAACCTGGCTCTGGCGAGGGGGTGCCAGGGGAAGGTGGGCAGGCTAGCAGGATACAAGCACTGCCTTTAGCCTGGTTAACAGCCTATGCTCTGCTGTACTTAGGCCTGCCCCAGAGAAGATACCAAATCATAGAATTAGGGCGGGAAGGGCCCTTCAAAGTCATTAAGACCAATCCTCTCATTTTACAGAGGAGGAAACTGAGGCCCAGTGAGGGTGAAGTTATTTGTCCAAGGTCACCCAAGCAATCTGTGACAGAAGCAGGACTCAAACCAGCAGCCTCTGTCTACAAGTAGAGATCTCATTCCCTGAACCAAGCTACCCTCCCCTCGTTTCCCACCTGCTGGCCTAAGGAGGGCAGGGTGAGACAGTTAGGAGGTGAAAGGCCCAGCAGGATCCCCAAACTCAGTGAGGCCTTTTCCAAGAGGGGCAGCCTCAACGCCAGGCCTGAGGCCTAGAACTTGGTAAGGAACTCTTCCTTCCTCCTCTAGGCTGCTGGGGGCTAGTTCCTAATGCAATCCCTGAATTCACCCGGGGACATCATTGCAGGGACAACCCCCTCCTCCCATTCACTGAGGCCAAAGCTCCTGACCGGAAGCCTATGCTTGGGGCCCCCACCCTGCTCCTATCGCAGCCTCCTTCACTGCTTCTCCTCACCTAACAGCTAGTTTAGCTCCATAGGGTGAGTTTACTCCCTCCCCTCCAGTGACCTTGTTCTAGAAAGGGAGGAAGCAGAGAAGAGGAGGTAGGTGGGGGCTGGAGTGGGTGAGGGCATGGTCCTGGACTGAATGGAAGACTGCAAAAAAAACCTGTCCTTGTGTATATACCTACCCTAAGAAAACACTCAGCAGAGGGGGTAGGAACACAAGGAAGCCAGGAGACACTCTGGCTCTCCAGGGCAACTGCCTGTAACTTAGATTCTAATCCCTGGTCCCTTGCCCTGCCTCCTTTAACCTCTGATATACTTGGGCTAACAGTCAGGCCAACCTTGGGTTGGAATCCGAGCTCTGATGTGTACTAGCTGTGTGACCCTGAGCAAGTCACTTAACCACTGACTGCCTCAGTTTCCTCACCTGTAAAATGAAGATAATAATACCTAAACAAGCTACTTTACAGGGCTGCTGAGACAGTTACAGAGGTCCAGTGCTTTGCCAGCCTTATAGGCAGTGACACTGTGGAAAGAGTGGGCCCTGGGGTCACAGGAGCTAGATTCAAATCCCACGTCATACTCATCCACTCTCTACCTGTGGGACTTTGAGCAAGTGACTGCCCCTCTCTAGGTGGTTTTGGTCTCCTCAACTGTAAAAGAAAGCGGGATTGATGGCCTCTGGGGTCTCTTCCAGCTCTCCAGCTCCCCTCCCAAGCCTAGTATTTGCTTGGAGCTCCTAGAGAAGTCTGAGACTTCAAACAAATCATTCATGGTAGCTACACCCTTGGGTGGCCTGGGGTGGGGAGGGGGGGGAAGGCTACTTATCTGCTTGCTGAGTCCCAGGCCAGAGAAGAGCTGGGTGAAAGGAACCCAGCCCTCTAAGCCTCATCCGGATTTCATTTCAAATTCCTATCTACCTCCATTAACTGTAAAGTCTCAAAAGCTGTCTTCTTTCCCCAGGTTAGGCTTGTTGGAGGGAGGCTGGGAAAAGCAACAAGCCTGGGCCCCCACTCCACCCCCCAGCCCAGGGAAGCCTGTCATGATTTATTGTGATGTCCTCTCAGCCTCCCCACAGGCCCCAGTAATTCTGGAATGACCTTTGATCCCAGATAACAGACTACCAGGAGGCTGGGGATTCCGGCCCTCCTTGGCCATGTTCACAAGGCCGCCCACCCTCCCTCCCTCTTTCTTCCTTTTCCTTCCCTTTATATCACCTTCATTGCAGGGAGCCTGGACTGGGGGTCTAGGCCTCACCTTGGCCGGGTGAACCAGGGCTCTACCTCCCTGAGGGGAATTCCTTCACAATGCGATGGAGGAGGCGGGGCTTAGGGCCTCACCAACATCTGGCCTTTTGTTTGCCAGGAGCAGAGTGGAGAGTATTAAAAGCTAATCCCCAAACCGAACTGCAGGCTGGGCTCTTTGGGCCGAGGCCAACGGCATGTGCGGATGTGGGAAGGGGAAGAGCCAGGTAGAAGGGGGAAAGCGGGAAACAGGAGGATGAGCTAAAAGGGGGGAGGGAGAAGGAGAAAAAAAATGAGACAGTGGGCTGGGGGAGACTGAGAGATAGAGAGGACAAGGGAAATTAAGAGTGAGGATGGGATTTCACAATTCAGGCTTTCAATTTGGTTCATTTGCTTGTTTTCCAAGTTGGACTGGTTTCCCCCCCTCCTGCTTGGGACTTGGGGAACTGGAGCAGCTTCATGACTGGACCCTGAGCTCCACCCTGGAGCACAGGGGGGCCCAGCTGTCCCCTAGAGGGAAGCCAGAGTGAGGCACAGCCTTGTTTACACAGGCCTGCGGTTCTCCCTTAGAGAAGGCTCCATCCACTCCTTGAGGCCAGCCCCGGATCTGGAAAAATTGCCTCTCCTGGAAGCAGGGAATTCTTTTCTGACCCTTCACTGGCCAGCTGCCCAATTCCTAAGCCAGAAGGGGTGGGGTCTGGGGAGTAGGGGCTGAAAGGCAGGCTTCCTGGAACTCTGCTCAGGAAACAACCAAGTTGTTCCCCAATTAACACTAATTCAAGACCCATTTCCTGCAGCTAACCTAGCAGTCTAGAGAAACCTACTGTTTAGTCTGCTTGAAAGTTGCTGGGCTGGCTTCCATTGTGGCCTGTGCCACCCAAACGGATGGAGGGTAGCACAGCTCATCCTACCAGTCACCTACATTTGCCACCTAAGAACAATAGCTATGGGGCAGCTAGGTGGTGCAGTGGATAGAGCACTGGCCCTGGATTCAGGAAGATCTGAGTTCAAATCTGGTCTCAGATCAGACACTTGATACTTACTAGCTGTGTGACCCTAGGCAAGTCACTTAACCCCAACTGCCTCACAAAAAAAAAAAGAACAATAGCTAGCATTACATAGCACCCTAAGGTCTGCCAAGCACTTCCAGTAGTATCACATTTTATCTTTATAACACCCCTGGGACACAGATGCTATTCTTCCCCCAACTTTACAGAAGGAGAGAGAGAGAGAAGCAAGCAGAGGTAAAGTGACTTGCCCAGGGTCACACAGCTGGTGCCTGAGGCCAGGTTTGAAATCCAGGCTCTACCAGGCTCCCTAGGCTGGGGTGGGGAACGTGAGGCCTCGGGGCCACACATGGCCCTCTTTGACTGAATCCAAACTTCACAGTGAAGAAGGAAGAGCCTTCCTAGGATAGGGCCCCTCTGGCTTACTTCACCCCCGAGTCACACTCGAAGGTTGGGCCCCTTCAAGTGAGCCCTTATTAGTTCAGGATTGACACTGGACCATATGAGGTACTCATAGGTCATTAAACAGTTAACAAAAGGAGGCTTACTTATCCATAGTATAGAAAGGATGGTCAATAAGGATACAGCAGCTTTTGAGGCTACTTCTCCTCACTTCCTTATAGAGGTAGATATGGTCAACAGGGACCCAGACTCCTTGTGGGTAGGCCTTTTTATGCCTTTTGGTGACTAGGAAACCAAGTCGATATCAATACCAAAAAAAAAGGAGGTGGGGAGGAAGACACAGGAACCAATATGGTCCAGGATAGCTTTGTGACCTTTTAGGAAAAACTAGCCTAATTTATATTTGGGGGCAACCTGCCAGATACTGGTCCTATAACATTGTCCCCCAGGAGACAACTACACCAAGTTTAAGGTACCCCATGAATTCATACTCCTAAAACTATCATTATTATAGTACCCAAGCCCCCACTAGTATGTTTACCTTGGAATAGTCTGCCAGAGGATACAATCAGCTGGAAGCAAAGGCATTTGCTGAAATGGCATGGTAAGAAGTAAATAAATGCAAGGAGGGGCAATTCATACCTACAGGGCTGCAGGGTCAATAATGTGCTCACACTGTTCCTCCCAATCTTGGTCTCAAAGTCTCTGTTGAATATCACTTAGCTATACTGTACTCCACCAGGATAATGGGAATTGCAGATGTTGCTCTATTCCCAAGTCCTATTGACTCTACTGTCACAGCACCACCCTGGGGCCGGCCAAATCACGTCATACCTGGACTATTATAATAGCTGGGTGATGGTGGCCCTGCCTCAAACCTCTCCACACCCCAGCCAACCAAACTCCACTCCACTAAACTTTCAAAGTGATCTTCCTAAAGCAGAGCTTTGAACAGGACAGTAAACTCCAGTGGCTCCTGTTAAATAAAATTTTCTGGCTTTTAAAGCCCTTCATAACTGGACTCCTTCCTACCTTTCTAGTCTTCTTATATCTTATATCCTGACATGTTCTCTATGAGCCAATGATGCTGACCTCCTTACTGTTGCTCTGTCTCCCAACACTGCCTTTTTACTGGCTGTCCATCATGCCTGGAATATTCTGCCTCCTTACTTTTACCTCCTGGCTTCCCTGGCTTTCTTCAAGTCTCAGAACAATCCCACTTCCTACCAAAAAACAAAAAAGCTTTTCCCAATCTCCCTGAATGTTAATGCCTTCCTTTTGAGGTTCTTGTTTGTACATAGCTGTTTGCATGTTGTCTTAGACTGTGAGCTCCTTGAGGGCAAGGCCTGTTTTTGCCTCTCTTTGCATCCCTACATCTTAACACAGTGCCTGGCCCACAGCAGGCACTTAAATCCTCATTGACTTGACTTGAGGCAGGGATGCTACCTCACTGATGGCCACAGTCATTATCACTTCTAGCTTCAGGCTCAGCTCATGTCCTAGCCCACCTGGAAGCCACAGCCTAGGACTAGCAGCAATCCTGGCTTGAGGACCTGCCATCTTCCAAGCAGAATCCCACCTCTGAACTCTGCCATGTGCTTCTGCTGCGCTACGCCATTGCTTAGTGTGTGTTGGGGGTGAGGGGAGAGGAGGGGAAATCCCTTCCCACTCCATTTGCCCCACTTGCCCCAAAAGAACTCCTAAAAGCTGCTACCTGGTCTCTCTCTCTCCAGCTTATTCCTAGCAGGGCTGGCTCCTCCACTGTCTTGGCCTGTCCCTATTTTGTGGCCCTTAAATATGCAAACTGACAACAGGCTCCTTTTTTCTCTGAGACACTGCGCTAGTGTTCATGAAGCCCTTACCTCTCCTCCTCACTTTCTGAGCTCCTCCCCCCCCTGAGCTCCTCCCCCCTCCCAGCTGGCTACTGGTGCCAACTTGCAACAACCAGGAAATGATAGCAATGGCTGAACCCATGTCTACACAGCCACAGGCTGAGTTGCTCACTGCCCACAGCTGCCACTTGGCTGGGGACAATTGCAGGAACAAGCCCTTCACAGTGCCATCATGCTCCCTACCCCCCTCCTGCCCCAGGCCAGTTTTATTGCCAGGGAGGCAGCCCAAAGCTGATGCGTGTGTGTGTGTGCGCGCGCGCACGCTCGCCTGCACGGCCAGTGGTGGTGGTCTTACAACTTTCTAGGACTGAACTTTCCCCACAGAATACCCAGCCCACCCAGCTCCTCACCTGTGGGTGGTCATGTCCTAGAAAGAAACCATTTGGAAGGTGCAAAGGGTGGGGAGGGCCTGCCTGAGAAGTTCTGATCTCGTGCTGCTTTCTTCTCTTCCTTCCAGGCTCAGGTTACTATCCTGATGAAAGCTACAATGAAGTGTCGGTTGAAATGCCCCCCCAGGTCCCTGCTCTGGACTACCGAGGTAATTTCAGCTCAGGGCCAGCCTGGGCCCTCTGAGGGCAAGGACCATAGATCACGCTTCTTTGTATCCCCTGGCCCCCAATAGGATAAGCCAGACACATAATATACACATAATATACACACCTTGGATTATTGAATGAATGAATGAGCCAAAGTTAGGGAAGGAGAATGAGCAAAGAGTACGAGGGAGGAGATCAGGCTGGCTGTTGCTGAAGGATCAGACTCAGGGAGCAATGGGAGATAAGGTTGGAGAGAGAGGCTGGAGTCAGATCACAACAGGTCTGGTGAGGTTTTATAGGGGATATCTGTCCTAAGGGGAAAGTGGGACTGGGTTACTCCTAACCTCTCTTTAAACTTCAAGCTTCCCTCCCAGGGAGAAGAATTTGGACTTGACGTTGCAGGCAATTCTAGGTTCTTGAGCACGACTAACAGGAAAAGACTGGTGTGGTCTGGCAGCCAGTGGTGATATTGGGAAGAAAGAGTAATTGGGGCGAATCTGAGAAACAGCAAGACAGTAACAAATTCTGTGACCTCCCAAGGGCCAAATTCAAACAGTCTGTTCTTCATCATCATTCCCCTTGACTTCTTGGTAGCACGTTGACACCTTCCTCCTTCCAAGTGGGGCTCAAAGGAGATCATGTCTACAAAGTGCTTTGCCGCCGACCTTAGAGGACCATCTGCATCCATGTGAGCCACTCTGATGATAACAAATATTTATTAAGCAATGTGGCAGGAACCATGCCCTTGACACACCACATTGTCCTGGTTTTCCTAATCCCAGAACCATTTCTTTCTAGCTCCTTTAATCCTTCTTTTTCTTGTTCCCACCTGGTTCCTAACTTGAGAGTCCAAGCACTCCCCAGGGAGCAGGGCTCAGCCAGAGATCTCTTCCATTTCCTGCAGCTTCCACTATCATGTTCCTCTGTGGAAATGCTGCCCAGGTCTCTAGCTCCAGTCCCCCCCCCCACAACTGCCTCCATTTGGGGACCCCACTGACCCCTCCAAGGCAAGACATCCAAAATAAGAATCACTGTCCTCTTCGTTTCTCTCTTTCTGTTAACGGCTCCTCCTCTTACCCATCTTCAGTATATCCAATCAGTCACTAGGTCCTATTGTCTCTTCCTGCCTGGTGGCTCTAGCCTTCTTGCTTGGTTCCTGCCTTTCCAATCCCATCGTCACCATCCTAGTACAGTGTCATGAATACAGTAAGAGTCTTCTAGTTAGTCTCCCGGACCCGCCCTGATCCTTCCTACACACTTGATGAATCATCTCGAGCCATCACCTTCATCATCACATGGTTTCTTCCACTCAAAAATGCTTCCCACTCAAGCCCCTATCCCTAGCCCACAACTGGCCCCAATCTACTTTCCCAAACTTACCTCTCATCACCCAGCAGCAGCCAGGCTAGCTTCCTCACTGTGCTTTGCCTGAGTGGCCTACATGCCCCTTTCCACTCTGCTTAGCCATATGTTCCCATCCTTGGATTCAAGGCCCAAGTCTACCATGAAGCCTTGCTTGACTGGCAGAGGCCCCCTTGGCTGCTGCTGCTTCCTCCGAGCTCCTCCGGCACTTGCTGTCTATGCTCCTCACTGGGCATGTAGCAGTCCCTGCCTTCTTTTGCTAGCCAGTTTTTCCTGTGCCTCATTGTTCCCCAACTATATTATTAGGCAACACACAGTAACAGCTTCACAGGGCAATGGGATAACCATAGTCCTGAATTGGGAGTTGGGAGATCTGGGTTCAAATCTTAGGTTTGCCACCGGTGTGAGCAGGAATAAGTCACTTCCTCCCTCTGGACTTTCATTCTCTCTTCTGTTAAATGAGAGGGTTAGACTAGATGGCTTTGGAGCTCTCCTCAAGCTAAAATTCTCTTAGTACTGGACTTGAAGTCAGCAAAGCCTCGGTTTGGATCCTGCCTCTGACCCTTACTAACCATGTGACCCTGGGCAAGTCCCTTTACCTTGGAGCCTTCCAGATTTTCCATCTGCACCATGGGAATCACAACAGCCACAGCACCTGCTTCCTTCCCATGGCTGTTGGGAGGCCCAGATGATAGAATGTGTGTCAGTTATTCTCTTTATTATTTCTCTAAGAGCAGGGCCCAAGACTCATACTTCCCTGAGTTCCCTGAGGCACCTGGAACTCAGTAGGGAAGCCCTTTCAAGTTTGTGGCTTGACTGATTCGAGTGGTTGGGTAATAGGAGACATCCAATGATGTCCAGCACTTTTAAGGAGTTAGGAATGATGATCTCAACCTATCTAAGTGGCCCCCTGGACTGAACTTCCATCAGAAATGGGCAGCTGACTGTGGACCGGACTTTGTGGCCCAAAGAGAAGTCTTCACTACAGCCTGAAGCTAACGATGTACCTGGAACATGCCCTGAGGGCCTAACCCTATCTTAAGGCCTGGGGGTCTCAGAGTCTAGCCCTTTTCTCCCAGGCAGAAAGGGGTGAAGGCAGGGGTGTTCTGGTAAATGTTTAGTAATGGCTGGGGGTGGGGGTGGGGGTGGAGGTGGAGGGGGTGATGTACCCTAGACAGCTTTTAAGCTTAATCTTCATTATTTTCTCTACCACTTTTTAAAGTCAAAACAATTGATAAAACAATAAATCAAGCCCTGACTTGTAGCATTTACTGATTTCAGAGGGGTAAATGCACACACTGAAAATTTAACAATCAGCTCTGGCCAAGTCTAGTGGGCTCCAGCATACCCCTAGGTGGAGACATGTTACATAGGTGAGCTAATGTGTATGACCCGAAAGATACAGACAGACCTGTGCGTGAGTGAAGATGGTGATGGTGACATAGGTATTATAAGCATTCAGAGGACATAGATGAGAAAACTGAAGGCTGAAAAGGCAAAGTGATTTGCTCAAGGTCACACAGGTGGTAGGTAGGTGACTGAGCTGCCACTGGGACTCATTTATTATTAGGCAGCTAGGTAGGGCAGTGGAGAGGACCTTGCTCTTAGAGTCAGAAAGACCGAATTCAAATCAAACCTCGGATATTTAACTAGTTGTGTGTCCCTGGGCAAGTCACCCGCTGCCTCAGTTTCCTAATCTGTAAAATGGGGATAATAATAGCACCTACTCCGGAAGGTTGTGAGGATAATATGAGGTAATGTTTCTAAAGCACTTTGTAAACCTTAAAGTGCTAGTGATTATTGTTATTATCCCCACCTGGTTGATGGGAAAACTGGGACTCTCAGAGACTTGAGGACCTCCCCAGGACTTAAATCCAGCATCCTCTGGCATTTGGCCCTAACTATGACATAGAATCAACAACTGGGTTTCTGTGGGAGCTTGTGAAACTGACTTCTGGGGTAAGAGGAATATTTTTAAAATAGATTTTCATCCATTGTAGTGGACGATGATACTGTCCAGATGAAAAGTCATAGGGGATTTGCCCTCTCACCAACCCTTCATAGGTCCCTAATGGGACCTGGTTTTAACAGGCCTTGGTTTTAACCTTGTAATCTCTATCCCCGGTCACACTTATGGCGGTTCTTGCAATACAAGGATTCTGCCACTAGATGGGGTCAGTATGCCATGCTCAAGGGTAGAGGAACAACTTTGATTTAGTTGGCCAGAGGTTCTAGAAGGGTGGCTTAACTCACCCTAATTCATGCTCTAATCCTCTTGTATCCAGCAAAATGTGGAATATTTGAATTTGCAAAAAAAAAAAAATCCCCCAAACTGTGATTGGTGGGTTTTTTTTCCCCCAACACAGGGAACCCTGGACAAGTGTAATCTCCCTAAAGCACCTTCGATGACTTAGTAATTGAGTCCTGGGCAGTTGTCTGAGGCTCCAAAAAGTGCGATGACTTGCCCAGGGTCACACAGCGAGTGTCACAAGCAGAGTTTGAACCAAGGTCGCTCTTCACTGCTCCACATCGCCTCTCAATTCTGAATATCACTTTCAGAACTGACTTTACTATGGCAGAGATTTAATAAAAGGAAAAAAAAATTTCCAGAACATGCCCTGTGGGTCAGTCCATGCACAGATAGTCCAATCTCCCGTACTTTTTAATATGTTTGGTCAAAAGCTCCCTGAGGTTTCGTGCAGTCAAGTGAAGATCAGCATCAAAGCTTCCTGACCTAGCTGCTTATCTCTCAGGGCCAGCTGGATTTTCTCTTTCTAGTCACTGACCAGGCTGGTCGAGCTAATCACTCAAGAGGCCTTGCTTAGCCTTAGGGCAATATGGTGTGTCCCCTTCGCCTCCTCCCCTATCCTACCTGGGTGATAATGGACCTGTAATCTCATCTCTCCAAACTTCCCAATTCCTCATCTGTCAAATGGGGATAATTAGGCCTGGAGTATATATCTCACAGAGTTATTATGAAGCTCAAATGAAATCATGTCTGCAGTGAAGCACTTTGCACCCCTTAATATGCTACTGAAATGGCAGTAATTATGAATCTGCAGGCCCTCACTCTCAGAGACCTGGCTTCCCTCCCCTACAAAGCTGTTTTTCTCCAGTCAGAAGGTGGTTCTTTTGCACTTTGCTACTTTCAGTTTCCCATCAAATATTTAGTTTCCTCAGCTGGAACTAAGCAGATCTTGATATTCATGTAATACTTGTTTGCTTGAATGAATAAATAAAACATTTAATAAGCACCTACTATGTACAGAGCACTATGCTAAGTGCTGGGGTTTCAAAAAGAGAAGTCAGACAGTTGGTATTCTCAAAGAAGGAGCTCCCACTCTAATGGAAGAGATTTCAACTGCAAGTCCAATGGAAAGGTCCCACAGGCCTTGGTGTGCAGCAGCCAGGAAGGTGGCAATGACTTCATCAGTGTCACTTCCTCTGATAAAATCCTATTGGTTTCTGTTGTTGAGCCAAGGACTTTGGCGAAAGAACTTTCTTTTCTTTTCAAGGACTGCAAGAGGTTAGGCAGAGAATGGAGGGATAGGAGGGAGGTATAGGGAGAAAACATTGATCGCAAGGGCACTGTCTATTTAAACCCATCTAAATCCAGCTTGGCATCCTTGTTTTCTTTTGTAGTTTCCCTGGACAGTGTTTGGAAAATGGTCAAAACATGGCTGCTGCATTTATCCTCCATTTCCAAAAATCAAACCATTCTGCCTTCATTAGATTATTGCCACCAAGTACACACAGACAGTGATACATGCTGGTATACAGCCTTTATAGACACTGGCTATGCAGTCAGGTTGTGTGATTTATCTGGTGCCCTGCCTTAAAAGTGGCTCAAATTATTCCTAAAGTCCCCCCCCCATCTTATTTTTAAGATAGTAAGCTATTCTGGTAGAATTCTACTGATAGCAAAAACCTAAGCTATCCAGAACTGTTAGGAAAAAGAACCAAATAAAAAGTCTCTCAAATGCAGGTTTGGCCTTATAAACAGGAATTTTAAAAAATTTAAACACTTTAGACTAAAATTCATTACACAATAAGCAGGAAACTGTGGGAAATTTTCAATAAGTTTCTCTGATAAAGTCTCATTTCTCAAATATATAGGGAACTGAGTCAAATATAAACATGAGAGCCATTCCCCAGTTGATAAATGGTCAAAGAATATGAACAGGCAGTTTTCAGAGGAAGAAATCAAAGCTATCAATAATCACATAAAAATGCTCTAAACCATTAATAATTAATAATTAAGGAAATGAAATTTTCTTTGAGGTATCACCTCACACTCATCAGATTGGCTAATACGACAGAATAGGAAAATGATAAATGTTAGAGGGGATGGGGGAAAATTGGGACACAAATGCCCTCTTGGTGGAGTTGTGAACCGATCCAACCATTCTGGAGAACACAACTGCTAGAATGGTATCCCAACGAGATCAAAGAAAAAGGAAAAGGACTTACATGTACAAAAATATATAGAGCAGCTCTTTTTGTGGTGGCAAAGAATTGGAAATTGAGGGGATGCCCATCAACTGGGAAATGGCTGAACAAGTTGTAGCACAAGACTGTGGTGGAATACTGTTGTGGTATAAGAAATGAGGAGTAGGATACTTTCAAGAAAAATCTGGAAAGACTTATGTGAACTGATGCAGAGTGAAGTTAGCAGAACCAGAGAACATTGTACGCAGTAAGAGCAATACTGTACAATGACCAACTGTGAATGACTTAGCTATTCTCAGCAAGACAATGATCCACCATAGCGCCAAAGGAATTGTGACGAAAAACGCTATCCACTTCCAGAGAGAACTGATGGACTCTGAAGCATATTTTTTCCCTATCTTTATTTTTCTTGCTTTTTTCCGAAACACGGCTAATGCAGAAATAAGTTTTGCACGACTTCATATGTATAAGAGGTATTGTGTTTCTTGATTTCTCAATGCATAGGAGAGGGGAGAGAGGGAGCGAAAGAATTTGTAATAGAAAATAAAAATAAAATAAACAAATAAAATAAAATAAAATGCAGCACAGACACATGTGGTTCCAAGGGGGTTTGAGACAGCTGAGTCCAGAGTGTCTCTGTAGGGCAGCCTGGGGCACATGCCCGCCTGGCCCTGATCTGCTCTCCCTTCCCTCACCTGACTTTCTATTTCTCTAGTGCCCCGGTGGTGCTATACGTTGAACATCCAAGATGGAGAAGCCACGTGCTACTCCCCAAGGGGGGGTAACTATCACAGCAGCTTGGGCACCCGATGTGAGCTGTCCTGTGACCGGGGCTATCGCCTGATCGGCCAGAGGTCTGTGCACTGCCTGCCAAGCCGGCGCTGGTCTGGAACGGCCTACTGCAGACGTAAGTAAATGTGTATGCCCCGTGCCTTGTGCCCACCCTGAGTGTGAAAGAGATGCAGACTGAGACATGCAGCATGGGAGGGTCCAAGCCTGACTATGGATGCCTCAAATCCTCAATGGTAAAAGAGGGATAATAACTGTGCCTGCCTCCCAGGGTTTGTTGTGAGGATCAAATGAGATATAACTTGTAAAGCACTGAGCACAGTGCCTAGGACACAGTAGGTATTTAATCAAAGGCCAGGTCCTTCCTTCTGGTCTAGTTGCTCCCTCCAGATCCCTTTCCAGAATCCAGTCAGCCCTGCCTACTGAGCACCAGAATATTCATGACTATAATAAGCTCCCTGAGGGCAGGGACTGCTTTAGGGAGTGTTGGTTTAAGCTGGGAGACATGTTTGCAGCTGGGTCCCCAGTACTTCAAGGAGGTGTCAAAGGATTCGCCACATTTCCTGTGACTCCTCACTGCCTTGGGCAGATGATCTTTGACAGACTCCATGAGCCCACAGCCAGCCTGGGCACAAATGTCCCTTCCTTAGGCTGGCCCTTGGCAAACAGGCACACAGTCCACCTCCAGGCCTTGCCTTGGCTAGTGCTGCCAGAGCTTCTGCTCAGTTGGCACACCCTCAGAGAACCCAGAGGCACCTCCATGCCACAAAGAGGCATCAGGCGGAGGTAGGAGGATACATATCTCCCGAATGGTTCTCAAGGAACTTCCAGTGTGACAAGTGGCCTGCAAAAAAACCTCTCTGGAAGTACACATGAATACAGGTGCTCCTCCCACCTGTCTGCCTAATCCTGCTTAGTCTCCTTGGCTGGATCTTCCTCCAGGTCACATTGTCTAACCGTGGGTGCCTCTGAGGCTCTGTCCTGGGCTGTCTTTTCTTCTCCCTCTATAACACAGATTGGCAAACTTTTCTGTGCATAGGTACAGATAGTAAATATTTGAAGCTTTGTGAGTTGAGACAAAATCAAGGATACCATGTAGGTAAAAACAGAAAACAAATTTCCACAAATTTTCTTGCTGACAAAATTCAAAATATAATAATCATAATTGAGTATGATTTGGGGGTAACATAAGTCTACTAATGAGGAGAATGGAATCCTTTTTGGAGGGGATAACATTTTGCTTAATTGGGGTTCAAAGTTAGTGTTCTCTATCACCAAAATCAATTGCAAATGGCTATCCGCAAATGTGCGTCTCTAATGAGATTCATTGTATTTCGTGTTTGAAAATGTCTATCCACATAGACAGATACTGCCAAATACTGATATCAATCCACAAGCACATGATTTTAACTGAACATATTTATCACTTGGAAAGCATTTCTAGAATTCTATTTGATTCTTCTCTGAAGATTCGCCTTTCAGCATGTCATTACATTATAGATGAATCACTTCCAGGTGCAGATTAGGTGGAAGCTCTTTAATTGTGCAGTTAAATAGATTTTAAAGTACGGAAATTTCTTGCACACTTACATCGAGATCTGAAAAATGCTACTGGAATTGTGTCCTGCAAATATATCCCCTGCAAATTTGGATAGGGAAGGAGCTCTTGCTTTCTGATAACTTTATTCGTTGACATTATTCGTAATTCAAACAACGTTAGCTGTCGTTGGATTGACTTTACCATGGTATAAGTTTTGTATACAAGCGATATTTTGCCTTTTCATTTTAGGTTGAATTCATTAAGAAACATTATCAAGTTAACAGCAAAAGTTCATTTCCAAAACCATTCAGTGCTCAACAATAGACAGTAGAGGGTAGTTTTTCTCAATCCACAAAATTTTGGTCTTGACCTTGGGCTCAAAAAATCATGATAAAACTTTTGTTTCTTTCTCTTCCTGTTTTGACACGATGGGTATACGTCACAGTACGGCAATCCACATGGCACTCAAAAGCCTCAAGTGCTAACTGTGCCCCTTCAATTTGCAGCAAAGCTGTGACAGTGCCAGCCAGCCACACAGGGTCTCTGTTGCAACCATCCAGCTCTGCCACTGTCGTCCAAAGCAGCCACAGACAAAATGCAAACAAATGATCATGGCTGTGTTCCGATAAATCTTTCTTTATGACACTGAAATTTGAATTTTACATAATTTTCATGTGTCATAAAATAGTATTATTTTGATTTTTTTCAATCATTTTAAAATGTAAAAAGCATTCTTAGTTTGTGAGATGTACAAGGAGGAGCAGAAGGCCCCATTTGGCCCCTGGGGCCTCAGCTGAGCAGCCCCTGCTCAACTCCCGTTTCTCTGCAGAGCCAGCTCTCTTTTCCAAACCTAACCTCTCTGCCGAGGGCCAGTCTCACATCATTCTCACACTGTACGGCCCATGGATATATTGCCAAAACAAAGCTCATGATCTGGCCTCCTCGGTGTTCCTGAGCAAGAGCCTCCATCTCCCCAAATCCATGCCCTTTTCCTGGCTGTCCCCCCTGCCCGAAATGCTCTCCTTCCTTACCCCCACTTCTGGCTTCCCTAGCTTCCATCTGCCCGAGGCCTTTCTTGGCTCCTGGCCCCACTCCCCACTCCAGGGACCTCCTCAGTTATCTTCCATTTATGCCCTATTTATCTCGGATGTACACAGTTGTTTTCATGTCTCCTCTAACATAATGTGAATTCCTTAAAGGCAGGGACCGTATTTTTGCCTTGCTTTGTAATCCCCAACTTTAGCACTGTGCCTGGCACATAGTAAACACTTTGGGAATACTTCCCAACTGACTAACGGAAGATTCCATGAAGCAGGTGGCAAGGCTGCAGGTATCTGTTTCCTGATGTGTCTGACGGTGCCTCTGGTTTCCTCATTATCTCTCCCAGTGCTGGGCCCCTGAGCACTGCCATTCCTCACAGAAGCCCCCTTGGCTCTCTTGTAGAGGTGAGATGTCCTGTGCTGCCCTTGATCACCAGTGGTACCTACAGCTGCACAAATGGCATCCTGCTGGATTCCCGCTGTGACTACAGCTGTGCCAGTGGCTATCACTTGGAAGGTGACCGCAGCCGAATCTGCATGGAGGATGGACGGTGGAGTGGAGGCGAGCCTGTCTGTGTAGGTAAGGTCCAGTCTCCACACAGTTGTCCTGCCACCCGGTGCTACCTTGACTTGATCCATCCATCTATGAATGCCCACTCCAGTAGGAGTGGAGTGAGCACCGTAGTACTTACATAGCCTATTCAAGGGCTGCTATTGCTTCTCCCCACCCCCCTTCTCCCCACCCTGGGCTAGGCTTCTTCCTGAGATATCTTTGGGCTCCTTTCCCCTCATATCCACCCAAGGGAGTAGATTTGCCTCCAAGGAATGAGAGAGGACTCAGGAGTTGTCATCTGATCTCTCACCTTGGCAGACATAGATCCTCCCAAGATCCGCTGTCCCCACTCCCGTGAGAAGATGGCTGAACCAGAGAAGCTGACTGCCAGGGTGCACTGGGACCCACCTGTGGTGAAAGACTCCGCAGATGGCACCATCACCAGGTGGGTATCAAATAGTATCTTTCTTCCCACAGTAGCTACTTCTCCCAGGCTCCCTTTCACAAGGAATACACAGACCATGGCCACAAGGAAGCTGAGTTCCCTGACCCTAATCCCATAGTTCCTGCTCCCTAATGATTATTCTGCTCTGTTCGATCCAGGGTGACTCTACGGGGACCTGAGCCAGGCTCTCGGTTTCCTGAAGGAGAACATGTAATTCGGTACACTGCCTATGACCGGGCCTACAATCGGGCTAGCTGCAAGTTCATTGTCAAGGTGCAAGGTCAGAAAGGATGTACAAACTCCCCTGTCACTTCCCTTCTGTTTCTGTTTTGCTAGACCAGGCACACATGTACAAGGAGAGACAGTGTAGGCCAACAGAAAGGGCAGCTGAATTTGGAGTCAGAGGAACTAGGTTTGAATCCTGGCTGTTAATTACCACCTAGGTGAGGCTGAGCTAATCACTACCTCTCTGGGCCTCAGTTTTCTCATGTGAATTCTCTTCCTACTCTAAATCTATGACTGTACAATCTTACACCCTCATACATCTGTGTTGTGGAAGAGGACTACCCATCTGGGGATGCCCTCCAACAAAATCAGCTTGTTTCAGAGATTAAAAGGCCATTCACATGCACATGATTCAGCTACCCTGCCTTCCAAGTCTAGACCCCATGAGCCCCTGGCCACTGGCTGAATATGGTAACATAGTTACCGATCCAGTCCTCCATGATGGCTTTCAGAAAGGCCACACTGGGGCAGGCCCAGAGCTGTCCAGCCCTAGCCTCTGTAGAGACATGTTTTAGAAGTCCAAGAATCTTCTCAGAGATCAGGGATGCATGCCTGAGTTATCCCAGTCTGAAGACTATGGCATCACTCTGCTTACTGCCTACTGCTTCTCCCCGGTGTTTCCAACATGTCTGCCCTGGGGCTTTCTTGAGGGAACTCTCAGACACAGAGCTTGAAGGCTACACGTGTCTTTGGTTCATTTCTGGTCACACTGGGAAGTCACCCTGTCCTGAAGCTGGCTTTGCTGCTGGTCCCCTTTTCTGTTGCCCTCAGGCTTCTGGATGACTTTTCACGCAGTTTGGGGGTAAAAGTCACTGTGGTTTCTCACTGTATTTCTTGGTCATTATTAAGGCTAGTTGGTACTTTGGGGTTTAGCTGGAATAGGTACAGAGAAGGTACATACATATTCTGCCTCCATTCAGGCAGTCATCTTGACAGGAAGCTCTCTCCTTTCCTACCATCAAGGCCAACTCAAGCCCCACATTTTCGCAGAATGTTTCCCCAACTACTCCAGTCCTGTCCTCTGAATTCCTACAACCTGCCATTGATTTATATACAGTATTCGATTTTTTCCCCGTTTTATTTTTGCATTTACAGATTCCATCCTGGGTACACCATGGTCTTTCACCTTGGAAAACCCAGCATGGACACTGTCAGGGCCTTCCCTTGCTAGAGGAGATCCTACAGCCTGACTTGAGTTCTTCTTCCACAGTGAGACGCTGCCCTACTTTGAAGCCACCTCAGCATGGCTACCTCACCTGTACCTCGGCAGGGGATAACTATGGGGCCATATGTGAATATCAATGTGATGGGGGCTACGAGCGCCAGGGGACCTCCTCCCGAGTCTGCCAGTCTAGCCGACAGTGGTCAGGATCCCAGCCCATCTGTACCCGTGAGTGAGAAAGGAGGGAAAAGAGAATTGTCACGTGGATCCGAAGGTCATCCCCTGACCAGAGCTGTAACTAGTGATTTCTACAGCCCAGAGAAGTGGAAAAGGCAGTAGGAGCACCTGGGGTATGGTAATAGAGGGGAGAGAAATGTGTCTAAGAAATAGAGGAAAGACCCTCAGGAAAAGGCCTCTGCTGCCACAGCGGGGGGCAAGGCAAGTAAAGACAGAAGCAAGCCAGGAGAATACCATTGGTGCCTATTCAATTAAAATGTTCCACTTTGGTTAAAAGCCTCATCAGGGTAGTGGGAGGGCAAGATTTGAGATGTCTGTTAGAGGGGCCCTGGGCACCCAACAGAAGGAGAGAGTACCTTCAGGTACTCTTCCAGGGGGTAGGTTTGAAGGAAGGAGTCTAGAACCCAAGAATACATTCATTGAATCATTTGGGAGGAAAGGAAGAAGCCGTGTCCTGAATGGCCATCTTCTTCTACTCTAGCCATGAAGATTAATGTCAATGTCAACTCAGCTGCAGCCCTCCTGGATCAGTTCTATGAGAAACGGCGCCTTCTCATTGTCTCCTCTCCTGACCCGTCCAATCGCTACTACAAAATGCAGATCTCCATGTTACAGGTGAGCGCCTTCCCCGTTCTTCATCCTCCTTAAGTTACCCAGCAACCTGCATTCATTCCCTCATGTCTCATCTCTCCTCCTTACCAACAATCCATAATATCTGTGAGTTTCACTCATTTTTTTCATTCCTTTTTATTCTGTGCCTAAAGTCCTCAGCCTCCAATTCAGTTTACAGTCAATCACTTTTGCTAAAGACAAAACTGCAACATAGAAAATGTTGATAACGCAGATTAAACTGAGAAGTATATCGTGTACATTTTTTTCCTAGCAAGTTGTTAAACTTTTGCTGACATACTACTGCTTAAAATAATATGTAAATGGTAATTGTCCTTCTTGTTATTCTTCTAATGTGTATCAGGAGCCTATGTTAGTGACTAGAGAGCTGTCCTCATTCACAGTCAGGAAGCCCTGGGATCAAGTTCAACCTTGAATACAGACTGGCTGTGTGACTCTGGACAAGTCATTTATCTTCTCTGGGGTCTAGGCAACTCTCTAAGACTTGAAGTTGCTCAGCATGTACTGATCTGCATTATTAAAGTCACAGCTCTAATCCAAAACAAGGAAAAAAGATGCTTGTCCTGGTGAGATAATAAGGCTGCTAAGCTGCAGATGCCCCTTTCTAAAGAGGGCATAGAACAAAATACCTTCCCTCCCAAGCAATGGGAATTGGTACCAGAGTGGTCTGAGAGCATCAGAAATTGCATCATAGGATCTGGAAGCAACCTTAGGGATCACCAAGGTCAACCCCTTCATTTTACACTGAGGAAACGGAAGCAAACAGTGGTTAAGTTACTTGCCCAAGGACACACAGCAAGTAAGTACAGTATCAGAGCCAAGATTTCAATTCAGGCCTCTGACTTCAAATCAAGCATCTCTTCCACTGCTTTACATACTTATGTGAATATGGTCAGGGAAAACAAGAACAATGTGGAACGATCCCAGGGAAGGGTATGGCAGTTGGCTAGAGAGTTTTTAACACATACCACCAGTATGTATTTGGCCAATTTGAACTCACGTCAGCCAAGCAGGCTGCTAATGCTGGTGAAGGGATCTGGAATGGAGGTATTTAAGAAAAGGTCAGAAGGAGGGCTTTGGAGAGATAGCAGACCATGCTTGCCTAGCTCTGAAGTTCATTCAGGGCAGCTGAGTAGCGTGGGGGACAGAGGCCTAGACCAGAGATGAGACTGATTACAGAATATTTGTAGACAATGAAGATACAGGTAGCTGTGAGAAGAGCTCAGCCCTGAAGCTGTGAGGGTGACCCTAGGGCCAAGACGAAGGACTTTGTTCTTCTAGGGTACCCACGGAAAGAAAACAGAAATGGTTCATAGAATCTCAAGAGCAGGAAGGAAACTTAGAGACCATGTAGCCTAAACTCCTTATTTTTCAGAAGGAATGAACAAATAGAGATTCACAGCTGGTTTAGAGACTTGCCCATACAGGTGAAAGGCCTGCAACCAGAATCCACATCTTAGCTCAGCCTTGAACAAGAGAAATAAGGTGAACTGGCAAGACTGAGAGAAAGCTGCTGACTGGAAAGGCGGTGGGCCTATATTATGTCATGCTTCTCTAAAACTGGGCCCTGCTGAGTAGCATCAACCAATCGCTAAGAATTTATTAAGCACCTACTCTGTGTCAGGCAAAATCAGAAAGAAAAGTCAAATCAGTCCCTGAATGAGAACATATGAGAAATCCAGAGTCAACTTTAGCAGGGGTGGCACTAGAAGCTGGGGGACAAGCCTGGAAGGGCCTCCAGGAGGAGGTGGCACTTGAGCTGAGGCTCAGAGGAGGATCTGAAGGGATCCCAAGAATCCAAGGTTGGGAGGGAGAGAGTATAGGCTCAGCCAAGGCAAAGGCATGGCAGATAAGAGAACGTAAGAAGATTAGAAAGGGAGGCTTCCAACACCAAATGAAGGGCTTTGGATTTGCTCCTGGAGGTAAGATGGAGCCACTGGAATTCATTGAACAGGGGGTTACATGCTCAGATGTGTGCTTTAAGAAAATCACTTTGGGGGCAGCTAGGTGGCGCAATGTATACAGCACCGGCCCTGGAGTCAGGAGGACCTGAGTTCAAATTCATCCTCAGACACATAACATTTACTAGCTGTGTGACCCTGAGGAAGTCACTTAACCCCAATTGTCTCACCAAAAAAAAAAATCACTTTGGCGACTGAGTAGCATAGGGAGAGACTTGAGAAAGGAAAAGCAACTGAGAGGCTTTTGCAAACATCCAGGCTAGAAGTGCTAAGGGACTGAACTAGGGTAGGCCAGATGAGTGGAGAGAAGATGATGAGTATGGAGAGAAAGGAGAAGAGGGCCCAGGACAGAGCCTTGGGGGACACCTATACCCCAAGATTCCCATCAATGGTGGGCTTATCGACCACTATGTCTATACTCTGTTCTCATGCCCACTGGTGCAGTAAAAGGGAGAAAAGTCATGGATTCCAAGAATAAGCTTTGGAGGAAAAACTCGCCCTTCAGGGGCAGCTAGCTGGCGCAGTGGATAGAGCACCGGCCCTGGATTCAGGAGGACCTGAGTTCAAATCCAGCCTCAGACACATAACACTTACTAGGTGTGTGACCCTGGGCAAGTCACTTAACCCCACTGCCTAAAATAACAACAACAACAACAACAACAACAACAACAACAAAAACTCACCCTTTGGCCCACAGTGGTTACAGAGGGCAGCTTGAAGCAGAGGGTCAGTGTGGTGATACAGACAGCAAGGCACAGATATGGGCACCATATATGGAATGTACATGAAGCAAAAAAAGGCAGAGGAGAAAAAAGACAAAGGGTAGAGATGGCAGAAACAAGGGCAGCTGTGCTGAAGGGACAGAAAAGAGCATGTGCTGATCGCAATCAGGGATAGGGGAGAGTGAGAGGAAGCAGCCAGGAAAGCTTTTGAGCAAGGGAGGAGAAAGGTTTATAGTATAGCCACAAATGACTAAAAGTAAGAGCAACTCAGGGGTTAACCAAAGAGGCTGTGCCCAGGAAATGGGGATGACTGTGTTGGTGAGATCCAGGGCTTTATAGTTACACAGGATCTTAGAGATCAGCTAGGTCAATCCTCTTCAAAAAAGGGGGTTGGACTAGATGACCTCTAGATGACCTCCCATCCAGGTCTCAATCTCTAAATCTATGAAGCGTGTGATCAAAAAAAATGATGGGCTAGTAACAGGGGAGGAGTGAGAAACAACTCATGGACAACCCCTATTTTCCACTGGCACCTTATGACATGAAGAGAAATCAAGGAAGGTCCCCAGCACATTGAATGAACCCCCTGGGACACAGGATGGGCAGGCATGGAGACTTTGCAATCTGCATCACTGGAAGGTTACCACCGATCCACTGAAATGATGATGATGATGATAATAATAATAGTAATAATAATAATATAGAATTTGTACTTTAAATACATTATCTTATTTGAGCCTTAAAATGGCCTTGTTAGGTAGGATCTATTATGATGCCCATTTTACAAATGGGGAAACTAAGGCTCAGACTGTTTAAATGACTTGACCAAGGTGACAAAGTAATAATAACAATGACAACTAGCATCGCAAAGAGCTTTTCAAATATTATCTCATTTTATCCTCACCATAACCCTGGGAGGTATACAGTACTATCATACCCATTTTACACATCAGGAAACTGAAGCAGACAGATGACTTACCCAGGATCACACAGCAAGAAATTATCTGATGTTGGATTCAAACTCAGGTTTTCCTGACTACAGTGCCAGTGCTCTATCCATTGAGCCACCTGGCTGCAAAAAACTGAGGCAAGATTTAAATCCTGGTCTTCCTGGGCCCCAGTCCAACACTACACCAGGTTGCCTCTCCTAGTCTAAGAGTCAGACAATGATGTTCACCTGAGTGACACTGAATTGAATGAGACCATGTAGCTGTACTTTATCTGTTCCCTATATAGTTATAGCCTGACACTCTCCCACTCCAAAGTTGTTTTGTGTGCTTCAAACAGCTAACAGTGTGTATGCTATGCAGGGAAGGCATAGCACAGGCAGGCCAAAAGGCTCAATTCCAATCCCAAGGGTGTAGTCTTTGGCACAGAACCATGGCTTCCTTCACCTGAACCACAATGTGGCCCCAGGTGTGCTGAGATAAATGGATGTTCCCTGCAGCCTAGTACCCAAAGGATCCTCTTGTTTGGGGGCGGTTCCACGCCCTTTTCATCCTACCTGTCTCCTCTCCAGCAATCCACCTGTGGGCTGGATCTTCGCCATGTGACCATCATCGAGCTGGTGGGGCAGCCTCCTCAGGAGGTGGGACGAATCCGGGAGCAGCAGCTGTCAGCCAGCATCATAGAGGAGCTCAGGTACAGGCTGGGGAGACTGGGGATTGTGGGAGATGCCCTGGCCACCGCTCCCTTTGGGGGCCCCTTCGCTTTCTGAATGTTTACTGAGGCACTGGATGTTTTGCAAGACCCAGGGTTCAGGCCCCAATCCCATTGGCTCAGAGATACGTTGGTTTTGCTCTGTCTATAAAGAGTCATCATTCACTGAAGGCTCAGTCATACCCATCATCCTCTGAGGGAGGCAGGAGGTGAAGACAGGATCTTCTCTCATCAGCACCCTTATCATGACACTGGCTTCATGGAGAGCACTGGCCCCCTTTACAAATCTCTGGGTTAAGGACCACAGTACTTATCCCCAAGAGTTTGTTTGCAATGGGACAGAAAGCAAAAAGCCAACTGAAGCAGAAACTGGGAAATAATAATAATAACAACTAGCATTTGTGTAGTGTTTTAAGGCTTGCAAAGCACTTCACAAATATCTCCATTTATTCTCACAACAACCCTGGGACATAGGTGGTAACGTTACCTCCATTTTGTCAGATGGGGAAACTGAAGCAGACAAAGGTTAAGTGACTTGCCCAGGGTCACACTGCTAGGAAGTCTCTGAGGTTGGATTTGAATGCAGGTCTTACTGACTCCTGGTCTAGTGTTCTAACCACTGGGCCTCCTAGCTGCTCCACAGACAATAGTGTTTCAAAGGTAATGGCTCCCATCATTAAAGAAGGCTCCAGTGACCTAGGGTAGTAGGTCCTCTGAGGGGTTTGAGGGTAACTTGGTATTGATGGTAAAGGCTGACCTGGCTAATTGGGGGAGGAGAGGACAGTGCTTAGAAGCAGCAGGGCAGTGTCCAAACAGAACTTTAAGCCCACCTCTCCCTTGGACTTCCTCCTTTCTCTTGAGGGTATCTCTCAGCTGTCCAGTCACTTCCGAGAACTCCTTACTGTTCCCTTCTCCCTCACCCCTCCATATCCCAACTATTGACAGAGTCTGCCAGTTCTACTTCCTCTCAAATCTGCCCCCTTCTCCATTCACGCACCTACTACCGTGGTACAGGCCCTGGACTGACCACATCACTCCCCTGTCTGAGAAGCTCTTATGGTTCCCCATTGCGCCCCAGAATAAAACGTAAATTCCTTAGCTGAGCATTTCAAGCCCCTTCCTGCACAGCCTACTCTGCCTGACTTAGCTCCTTGCTCTTCCCTGAACTCATTCCCTCTTTGGCCTGGCCGCCTCTGTGTGAGCTGTCCTCGGTGCTTGGAATCGAATCCCTCCTCACTTATCTCTCTTAGAAGAGGCAGTGTGGTTTGGAGGGGACAAAGTACTGGATTTTCAATCAGGAGGACTTGGGTTCAAATCCTGACTTCGAAGCTTTATTATCTGGGTAACTTAACGTTTATGCTAAAATGAAGGCAGTAATAAAGAAAGGAGACACTTGTCGAGCCCTGCTCCTTACAAGTTGGCCAAGGACTTCCAAATGTCACAGCTGCTCGAGCGCTGGGGTGAGGGGGTTTGGGCAGGGGCTCCAATGTGCAAACTCAGTTCATCAATGCGGCTAAGTTACTCCTGTGTAACTTGTTGTGTGAAAGAGCTGAAGTAACAGTGCCTAGACACAGCCAAGTCCTCCTGCCCGTCAGGACCCGGGGGGTCGGGGATCGGGGACGACACTGTAGGCCAGAGTGGCCCCTGCCCACGCTACCCCGAGTTCTCCCCGTCCCCGTCACAATGGCTGCTGGAGGCAGGCAACTCCTCCCAGTGGGAGGGGGGCGCGGAGCCGCCTGGCCTCCGGCACTCTCCCGGAGAAGACTCCGGCACATCCTGCAGCGAGCTGCGGGGAGGCCCCGGCCCTGCTTCTCCCGGAAGGTCCCGCTGGCTGCCGGGGCGGTGTGGGCGGTGCCCGCCCCGAGGGCCTCTGGGTGGGGGGCCCGTCGAGCGCCCCCCCCCCGCCTTTGGTGCTGCCCTTTGTCATCCCACTGACGTTCCCCCCCGCCCCCCGCCTCTTTCGGCATATGCAAACGGGGCCTCGGCTCCGCAGCCTTCGGATCTTTCTGCAGGCGCCATCCGTCCCGGCAGCCCCGAGGCCAGTGTGGGACCTGCCGCTCCGCCCTCAGGCCGGGAGAGCGGGTGTGGAGGTGGCCACCATCTTGGCGCAAGGGCCAAGGCCGGCCTTCACCGAGATAACGGTCGCATGACGTCACAGCCGGCGAGCGCGGCCGGTCCGGCCCCGCCCCCTTCCCCCTCAGGCCCCCTCGGCGGCCCTGTCTCCTTCCCTAGTCGCCTCGCCTTTCTCGCCTTTCCTTTCCTCCGGATCCGCGCGCTCCTCCGGCGCCTCCCCGGCCCCCCACCTCCCGCCACTGCTCCTCTTCCTCCTCCTGCCCGGCCCCGCCCCTCAGCTCCAGCCCTAGCCCCGCCCCCGGCTGCCCGCGTGCCCCAGGGCGCTCGAGGCTCGCCTGACGAAAGGACTGCGGGCGGCGGCGACGCCAGCCAGCGAGCCGGGGGATGCCGACCAACTGCGCGGCGGCCGGCTGCCCGTCGGTCTACAACAAACACGTCAACATCAGCTTCCACCGCTTCCCTCAGGAGCCCAAGCGGCGCCGCGAGTGGATCCGCCTCCTGCAGCGCGACAACTACGTGCCGGGCAAGCACGCTTTCCTATGCTCCCGCCACTTCGAGGCCTCCTGCTTCGACCTGACAGGCCAGACGCGCCGCCTCAGGGGAGACGCCGTGCCCACCCTCTTCGACTCCTGCGCCCCCCGCCTCAAAGGGTCGGCCAAGGGCAAGGGCAAGGGCAAAGGTAGGGGTAAAGGCCGCGCGGCGGCCGGCGGCCAGCACGAGCACGAGCACGAGCACGAGCACGAGCACGAGCGCCAGAACGAGCCTGAGGTGGACGAGGAGCCTGAGGTGGACGAGGAGCCCCAGCTGGAAGCCGAGAGGGAGGTCGAGGCCGAGAGGGAGGTCGAAGCCCAGAGGGAGGTCGAAGCCGAGAGGGAGTTCGAAGCCGAGAGGGAGGTCGAGGTCGAGGCCGAGGCTGATGCCGACGCTGACGCCGACACTGCGGACAACAACAGGGGCGATGAGGCTGCCATTCAGCTGGAGATCGAGGACGAGGTCGAGGTAGAAGCCGAGCAGGAGGCCCAGGAGCAGGCCGGCCCCCCCCCCTCCTCCTCCCTCACGGCCCCCTCCACGGCCCCCTCCGATCCCCAGTGTGCCCATCCTCGGGTGGCAGCAGGTTCTCCGGGACCACAGCTACGCCTTTCGCAGCCCTGCAGAGGCCAAGAGGCGCATCTTCCGGCTGGAGAAGGAGATCGCCTGCCTGCGGCGGCGGATTCGGCAGAGCCTGCCCAAGGCCAAGGCGGCCCTGCACCCCAGGGGTCGGCCCAGGCCCTAGGCCTGCCGACAGAGGAGAGAGAGGGCCGGGGGCAGCCAGTAGGCCAGAGTCCGAGTTGCCATCCTCAGACCCCCAGAGCCGCCTGCCCCCCTGCTGACGTTGCCAACTCCTCTTCACCCTCTCTCCAGCCTCTCTCTATCACCCTGCATCCTCCATCCGCCATCCTCCCCTCTTCACTGGACAGTTCCTGTTTTCAACCACATTCTACTTCAAGTTGCATTCTGTTCTCTGCATTGTTTACCAAAGACTTTTCCAGCCACCCGCTTGGCTTGGACATCCCAGCCAGCTGCCTTACATGCCATATGCCCAAGTTCTGTGTCTTCGCTGAAAATGTTGACCTCCCTAGAAAGACTGACAGGTTTATTTATGGATGGGTTTGGTTTGGTTTGGGTTTTTTCGTAAAGAATCTACTTTGAAAGAGACAGCCTGTGTCAGGTAATATGCTTTAAAACGTTTTTGCTTTTATTTCTACTAAGGCAGGAGGGTCTAGAGGAGAGTGCACTTGGACCTAGAGTGGGGAATTCAATCTGGGTTCAAATTCTGCCTCTGAGCTAGTCACTTAGTCTGGCTGAGCCTCATTCTCCTCAGCTGGAAAATGAGGCTAAGGATTTCTAGAAGGTGTGATCCTCATAATTACTTAGATTGATGTCATGCATTATGAAACAGCATGGTATCATAAGCCGAACTTAGAGTCAGGAAAGCCTGGTTAGTTCCAGTCCTGCCTCTGATGCATACCAGCTGTGTGGCCCCACAGTGTGTCACTTTAACCCTTCAGTCATCCCCTTTCACCTCGGGCAACTTTGTAATTTAATTAAAATGAAATTATGAAACAGTTTTCCCAAGTACCTAGGTAAAAGTGGAGGGAGTTTACACAGTGAGATTTTATAACAGCAAAGAAATCAAATGTCTGGTCCCTTCTCACCAATTCTATCATAAAAAGAATGGTTTTTTTCTTATTTGTTTCTTGACAGTGCTAGTGTCTGGTTAAGTGTTTGCAATAGGACACAGAGGAGTATGATTATTAATCTGAGGGATTCTCAAGGCCTTACTTCACATTCAAATAATCACTAACATTTTAAAATAGTTTACAGTCATTACAAATCTAACACACTGCCTTCTTTATAGTAGATGATTCATAAATGTTGTATTGCATTGAAATGTGATTGGATGGGTTAAGATCAAGGGACTTGAGGTAGGAATGCCAGGTGGTTATAGTAGTGGGATGGAGATGAAGGGTGACGAAGGTAAAGAGGCTGGCTGGTGAGAGGCCGAGGTCTCTGGACATTCAGAACTCTTTTTTTCTTCCAGGCAATTTCAGCACCTCACCAGGTCCTACTTCAACATGGTGCTAATTGACAAGCTGGGTGTGGACCGGGAGCGTTACATGGAACCAGTTACCCCAGAGGAAATCTTCACCTTTATTGATGACTACCTTCTGAGCAACCAGGAATTGGACCAGCGAAGGAAGCAGCGAGATGTATGTGAATGAACCTGAGCCAGGGCACAGGTTGTGAGTGAGGCACCCTGGCTGTAGAACTCTGGACCCCAGAAAATAAAGAGATAGGGAGTTTATTCTATTTGAGTGAAATGGGGGCCATTATAAAAGAAGCCCTAAGAACAGGGCGGGGGGGGGGGGCTGGTCACCAGCACATCTAAAACCATGCAACACCCCAGGGAGGTTTTCAGGGATCTGGGGGTGGGTGGAATTATTTAGTCCCAACAGGCTTAGCAGTGGCAATCTTCTGGGCAGCACCAGAGCATGGGGAACTAAGGGATTCCATAAGAATATAAGATCCATTGGCAATGGCCAAGGCAGCCTTCTTTCCTCTGCTACCCCTCCTCTCAACCTCCAGGCTCCCAGAAGTTCATAAACCCCTATGTTCATTCATCAATAGAATGTGTGTTTTAAATGGTTCCCTTTCCCAGATACTACAACTGAAGTCAACACCATTGACAAAATCAACCCTGCTTCCCCTTCAAATGGTCTAGGGGAGGGGAGGGAGGGGAGGAGAGGGAAGGGGAGGGAAAAAAAGGGAGGGGAGGGGAGGGCATGGCATGTATAGCATTGATTTTGCCAGTCCTTAATGTTTCCTTCTCAGTGCTTCCCTCTTTGCCTTATCCTAAGAATATCACCGTCCTCTCGGTTCATCTTATCCAGTCTGTCCTAGCAGCTTGCTAGTTAGTCACAGAGCTAGTTTCCCTGCCCTTCTAGCCCCCCACCAAAGTTGATGTACAACCAACTGCAGCTTCTCTTCCTGCTGCTCCCTCCGAGGGCCCCATGAAACTATTACACTCAGACAGAGGTTCACTTTTCCAAGCCAGACCCAGGGCGGGTCAGGGCTAACAACAGTGCAAACTGTGAGATCCAGAAATGAGAGAGGGCTGTTGGATGAAGGCCTTTTTCTCTCACCCTTTTATGTAGTGCCATTGCTTAGACTTCACTCCCATTCACTGAGGCTTTGTGGGGAGTTCCTCCCCTGTTGCTACTCAGACCCTTTACTTCATTTCTATCCCGGGTCAAAGCCCAGTAATACACCAGGTAATCAGGAGCCTTCTCCTTCAGTGCCCTTGTCTGATTGGAAGGGGCATCTGAAGGCAAGGTGGCACGACTTATTGGCCAAGCCAAGACCCTGCTTGTCAAACAAAGCTGAAAGCACCGATAGCCTGGCTTTCAACACAGATACAAGTCCCAAGGTGGTCCCAGGGAGCAGTGGGAAGTTAAACATGAGTTTAACTTAGGATATTTATTGCTCAAAGCAGGGCTCTGGAGTATGACTCGAGGACCCAAAAAGTGTACAGATGAGGTGGGAAAAAAGTCAAAGTCTGGTCTTTGCCTAATGGGCAGGGAACACAGGCTCCTTGCCCTAAGCCAGAAAAGCAGAAAGTATTGTTTACACAAGAGTTTTAGGAGAAACCTTATTTTAAAATTCAGCAAAGCTGGGGAAAAAAATCTTAGCAAAGCTAAGTAGTTGCTGGGTGGAATGTGACAACAGGCCGGACAAGAAAGCTTAGAAGGTCAGAGCAGAAGCACCAGCTCAGTGAGAGGAAGTGAGCAGGTTCTGTCTCAGAATGCAAAGTGCAAGTGAGCTCCATGGGGAAACCATCCAGAAAGACTGGACCTTCCAGTTCTGAAGGTCAGGGTCAAACAGTGAGTAAGAGCACCACCCTTGCCTATAGCAGAGCTGTGCTGCAGTTGGCAGACCAGAGCTGCCCAGCATGTCTTAAGTCCCCGAAGCTAAATAGCGTAACAGGATGGAGAGACCTGCTGTCAAGTCCCACCCAGTAGCTGATTGAAGCCATTTTCAGGGGGTGGTTCCCTAATCATAATTCACAGGCCTAAGCCTTACTCTTCCCCAAGGAGGAAAAGGTGTTACAAAGCAATACTGCTTGTTTGCAGGCAATGCTTTGATTACCCCAAGAAGATCAGCTCAGTCCTGCTGTAGCCTTTGGGTAAGAGTTAATCAAATTCTCTCTTGAAATGCCATCCGAATGCATTAAAAAAAATCCCCAGTCCTCTCTGGTGGGGAGCCATAGGGTCCAACCCAGCTCTCTTTCCAAAGATGCCACTATTATCATAGCTACTTCACACACAACCATTGGCTTTAAGGTTCACTGAGTGCTTCCTCCTACAAACCTATGAAGTGGGAAATGCATGATCCCAGTGTGACAGAAGAGCAGAAGCAGGTGCCAAGGAGTTAAGTTATTTGCCCATGCCTACAATAAGACCAAATTGGGGGAGCTAGAATTTGAACCTAGGTCTCCTGACTCCCATGCTTTCTGCTACCCCGGCTGGCTCTCCAAGACAGCAACACACAGCCAGGCCTAGGACCAAGCCATGAACCTAGCCCTATCTTCGTGCACACTCAATACCAATTTATGTCATACACAGATCTATAAGTTAAGAAACTGACTGGATAGTATTGGAAACTGTTGGCTTGTTCGACTTTGTATATTAAATAGTCCTTTGAGATGTTTGAATTGATTCATCCCCTTCCTTTGAATGTTATCAAATCGTGTCATCCCTGATCCCAAACCACAGAAGCTTTGTTTGGGGCTTAATGGGTCATTCATTGCATGTGCTATGTGGAGCTGTGTTCTATTCCTCTCAAAGCTGAGCTAGCCCTGATGAACTTGTAGGCTGAGAGAGAAAGAAACCCAGCCCTGGTCTCAGAGAGCTCAGGTAGAATGGTCTGCAGGACGTGATCCCCACACCTAGCAGACTCTCACTTCCCATCCCCCTTTAAAGCCCTGGCTGTCCTGAAGAGGACAGTGAAAGAGATGTCATTGCTACTTTGGAGAGGAGAGACAGTGGCTATGTTTAAGGAAGGATGGGAATGCTTGGTACCTGACGATGGGAATCAGTATTGGTCGGTAAGGTGAGGAGAGGATTCTTACTTGGGTATGCTTTGGCCTAGAGTTTCAAGTCTCTTCTAGCTCTGAGACTATAATTTAGTGAAACCCTGCAGAGTGGTAGTGAGGGAGGTACTGTTTCTTAAAGGAAGGACTGGGTGGTCTGCATGTGCCATCCTCCCAGCCAAACAGAAGAGGTAGCAAGGATGTCAAGGCACCCCAGTCAGGGTCAAGAGAATGAACAAAGGCAAAGGGTAGGCAAGTAAGAAAGCTTTATTAAAACAAAAGAACATTTTAAAAGGTGGCAAACAGCAACACAACAAATTGTAGCCAGGACTGTCCCCCTTACACTATGAAACCAAGCCCATCAATCCAGATATAACCTCCATCCAATTCCTCCCTACAACAGAGATTTCTTCAGCTAGCTAGGCAAGAGCAAGCTGGTGGACCTTGCTCCAGAGAAAATTGTTTTCCTCTCCAGTGTAGCTCCTTTTGCAAACAACTTTATGTAGGTAAGTGCATTTGTAATTGGGGGGTGGGGGTGGGTAAGAAATCTTGTCAGCATGGAACAGTCTGAGCAAGCATTAGAGAATTCATTCCTAGCCACTAGACCTAAACTCAGAGAACCCATACCCAGGCTCCGCACAAGGTCTAGGCTCACTTTAAGAATCAACGCATCCACTGCTGGTCAGTGGAAACATTAAGGGCTCTATAATACCTAATATCCTTGTATGAAAGTTCAGAATGAGTGTGTGTGTGTGTGTGTGTGTGTGTGTGTGTGACACACACACACTTTGGGGGGGGGGCACATCCTGAGTCAGAAAACTCTGGGACAATGTTTAAGCTCCTACTTAGGAGAACAAAATATGCTGGCTTAAAGGCTTTAGATCCTAAAAGCCCAGCTCTGAAAACCAGAGCCTCTTGGGATGATGAGGATCACACAGAACCTGGTCTTGTCCTGTCTTTGTCTGTCTCCGTATCTAAGCTTATCCCATCCTCCATACCTCAAACAGACTATCCCTCCCACCCCCACTTGTTGGCAGGGGGATCAGCTTTCCCTGGAGACCCAGCTTGGGTGCCAGCTCATTCTCAAAGCCTTCCCTAACCCCCAGGCTCAGACCAGTTTGCCTGGGTCTCTTGTTTTTAAGCTGTTCTCCCAGATATTGGTCATTCAGCCCATGCCATCTCTCCCCCATTAGATGGCTAGCTTCTTGAGCCAGGGTCTCTGACATAAATTTATATCCCAGGTCCCTAGCAGTGCTGTACACACTAAGGACACAAACAATTTGACCACCATTGATGAAGGTTTCCAGGATACCCAGAGGGGAAACTGGACACTTAACTAGAGTTTGGGGGGCAGAATCAAATTTGGGGGAACCTCTTTAAAGGGAATAAAAGCAATGAGCGCCCCCCAAAAAAACCCTCCTGTCTGACTAGAAGAGGAACTGAAAACAGGCTGAAATGCAAAGGAGCCTAGCTGCCTTACTGAGTACTAGGGAGGGAGTCCCTTCATCTCCCAAGGAGATGAGCTTGTTCTTGCTTCTTCCACCTTTTCCTGCCCCTGGAAGCCTTGGGCAAGAACCCACACAAACAGGGGGCAAAGCTAAGGCCCGAGAGGCCATGAACTCTCTGGGAACAGGGAGAGAGTAGAAGAGGTTGAAAAACTTGGTGGTTTCAAGCTCTCAAACACTACATTTAACCCTGACCCAAAATGGATGGGTCAGGATGGAATCTGTAAGAAGTAAAACAAACAAGGTCAGACTAAACACATGCACAAACACTGACCAAGAAAACACCCATGGTGCTGGGATTGCTCTAAAAGGTGACCACGCTCCCCCTTCACTACAGGATGGCAAGCTACACAGAGCGCACAGCAGTATACACACATGCCCAGGAACGTACACAGACACATGAACATGCATCTGTATATGTAACGAGGCAGTATGAATCCTGGCTCTACTTCCTCTAACTTGGCCCAGCTGGTGGTCCTGCAGCTCCAGGGAAAGCCAAGGCTCAGGATCCCAGCTTCTGCCTGGCCATGGTGGGACGGAGCTGCAGGGTCCCTTCTGCCCAGGAGCCTGGGTACTGACGCATCTTCTGCCACAGACTCACTTCTTCCCCAGCAGAGTCCATCCAGTCAACCATCTCCCCATTACTGATGCCTGCAAAGAGAGACCCACCAACTGAGACTCCACAGGGGTATACTGGAGAGATGGCATATGCCTCA